ACAACAAGCTATGGCTGACTCTGAGAAGAATGGGAATCCCAGAACATTTGTGCTTATGCGAAACCTATACTTGGACCAAGAGGCAGTAGTCAGAACAGAACAAAGAGACACTACATGGTTCAAAATCAAGAAGGGGGTCCATCAAGGTTGTATTTTTGTCTCCATACCTTTTCTATCTGTATGTAGAACAGATCATCTGAGACAAGGAGGAATGTGGCATCTGGATTGGTGGAAGAGTCATCAACAACCTGTGTTATGCAGATGACACAACCCTCTTGCTGAAACTGAAGAGGACCTAAAGCGCTTGCTGCAGAAGGTCAAGGACTATAGCCTTCAATGCAGATTGAAGCTCAACATCAAGAAAACAAAGATTCTCACCACTAGGCCAATTGGCAGCATCAGTATGGATTATGAAGAGATTGAGAGAGTTAACAGTTTTAGTTTGTTTGGCCCCACAATCAACACTCTTGGTACCAGCAGTCGGGAAATCAAAAGACAAATTGCATTGCTGTCTGAGACCTCTCCAGAGTACTGAAGAGCAACAGCTTCAGGCTGGAGACTAAGATGCGCCTGATCCGGCCTATAGTCTTTGCAATTATGTGCTATGCATCAGAGAGTTGGACAGTGACTAGGGATGATAGAAAGAGAATTCATGCTTTTGAGCTGTGGTGCTGGAGAAGAGTGTTGACTATACCATGGACTGCTAGGGGAACAAACAGGTGTGTCCTGGAGTGGGGGAAGCCAGACTGCTCCTTGGAGTCAAGAATTCTGAAGCTTCATCTGACATACTTTGGGCATGTTGAAAGGAGGAACTGACTGTTCCTTGGAGAGAGGGACAGCTCAGGAGAGGAAGACCCTCAATGAGATTGATCGATTCTGTGATGGGGTGGGAATGAGTGTGTCAGAGATGGCAAGGTTGGCACAGAATAGAGCAGCGTTTAGGGCTCTTGTACATATGGTCGTTATATGAGTCGCAAGCGACTTGACAGCACATAACAACAACAACAACACTGTAAAAGATCACTGTCAGTTAATAGACTTTTTGAAGTTGAATCAGTGAGACAAAAATCAAATTGCAGAAGCTGCGTTTCTCCTGATTAGCCTCTGCTATTGAGCTGCATGCGACTCAGATCAGCTCTCCTTTTGTTTTCTAAGTCTATGAGAGGAGGAACCTGCCACTGTTCTGAAGAGCCACTTAGGAGTTCAAACTGCCCACCTAATGCACTATAGCACATTCACACTGCCCTCAGGGCTCCGGTCTGTTTGATTAGACATCGGATATGGGGGCCACTTCTTGTGCTTTATCAGTAATTGCAGTGCAGGCTCACTGACTCTCTGTGTGCACTGTTGCATTTTTTTTTAAACTTTCACATGTAAGAACATACATTTAAAAACAACTTGCCACAAATAGAAATATTATTAGTAAATGCAATTTAAAATAAACCAATATTATTCAATGTGAGAGAACTCTGGAGTGCTGGTGGGTAAGGAATTGCACTGCCAACCCAAAAGGCAGGCAGTTTTAATCCATCAGCTGCTCTCAGGGAGAAAGATGAAGAATCTCTTTTCATGTAATTTACAACCTCGGAAAACCCACTGGAGGGTCGTTAAGAGTCGTTTTTGACTCAGCAGCACATCACAACAGTATTATCTGTTGTTGTTAAAACCGGCAGAGATTAGCTGTTATTCTGGCTGCACTCTAAGAGCTGGACTAGTTCTTTATCCTCATAGCTCTCAGTTTCATTGTTTGTGAGATGGTGATGATAAGGACAGGTTATTGTGAGGGTGGCTTACCACAGGTACCTCATGGCTGTCACCCAAACTCTCGTGCAATTTGATGTCTAAAGTTACCTCCTGGCCCAATGGCCCATGTGCCAGCCCTGTGAGACACTGAACTTGCAAGACTAGAGTGGAAACCTGGCAAGAAAGGCAAACCTGGTGGCCCTCACTGACCCTCAGTACTGTCTTCCGCCCACAGCAGCCCCTACTCTGTCCCATTGGGTCCCCAGTGCTGCTAGCTGGCCTTGCATTGCCAAACAGATTCTGTATCTCACTGTGTGGTTCAGAGTTCCTTCACAGAAAGCACTTAGGCTAGAGAGAGTAAGATGACAAAAGTGGAGGGATGTGGATAGGGGCTCTGGGAAGCCTGGAAAAGAAGAAATGGCTACTCATTCCTTCACTCTCTGCCCAGTGAGTGGGGGCTGCATTTTGGGGATATTTAGAAGAGTTAACCCATCCCTGAGATCCTTACCAATGAGAGTTTGTGGTTTAAATGAGTCATGTGCCTGGCTCCTTGAAGCAGTGATGTTGGCCCTGTCAGTGGTAGAGTGGTGGCCACTTTCTTGTGGCCCACAGATGCTTAAACTTTGTTTTGATAAAATTTAAGACTCACCAGTAGTTGTAAAAAAGTTCCTTTACAGTGTTCATTGACTAGAAATTTTATCTCTGCTATCCAGATCCCCTGACTTCCTCAGTTACTCTCCTGTTTTTAAAATAACTCTTTTTTTTACTTTTTAAAAATTATTAATTTCAGTGAACATCTACAGAAATTTTGGAATTCCATTTATTCATTGTTGCACTTTTCTCCCCTCCCACCCCCACCCCCAGTTCGTTCCTCTCCTTGAAAAGCAAAAGAAAAACTCCCTCATTGGTACACAATCCCCCCCACATAATAACTCTTACTGCATTATTTGTCCTTTTGTGACTGAGTTCTTGAACTCAGTATTGATGTGACTCCAGCCTTGCCTGTGACAGGTAGTATTTTATAATTTGGTTGTTCCTAATGCTGCATAGTATCCCATTGTGTGACTGTGTCCTAGTTTTTCTAGCCATTTATTTGTTCATGTTCAACTTAGGAAGAATTGACACGAAAATAATATAGCTATTACAGTTAGAAAATGGGAACAGAATATGTATAACTGTTCAAAAAGGGAAAGCAGAAGCGGGAAGGGGGACCCAGTAGGGCAGCAGAGATTAGTGGATAGTTAGTCAGGAGGTGAAGGAATACGTAAAGTGCAATTTGAGGAGACAAGGTGATAAAGGGCATTGATCAATAGTAATTAAGTATATAAAACACAATGTACATGAATGAAAAACAATATATATGAATGATTATATTTTAAGAAGTTCTTTACACAGACCCTGCACCCACAAGTGAAAGTTTATTTGTGAAATCTACTGCTTAGTCTTTATGTGCCCCCTGGGGCAACCACACCAATGAGAACCTAGATGATTGTTGTTGTTATGTGTCATCGAGTCACCTGCAACTCACAGCGACCCCATGTACAGCCTATGAACCCTGCCCTGTTCTGAGCCAATCTCACTAATTCCAACACACCAACCTTGGTTACCCCAGTTACTGTATCAATCCATCTCATCCTGGGTCTTCCTTTCCTGCCCTGTCCCTCTACCCTTCCAAGCATGATATCCCTCTCCAAGGACTGGTTTCTCCTGGCTATATGCCCAGAGTATGTGAGACAGAGCTTCAAAATCCTACCCTTCAAGGAGAAACTTGGTATTACCTTCTCCAAGACAGACCTATTTGTTTTCTTGGTGGTCCATGGTATGTTCAAGACCCTTCTCCAACACCACAACTCAAAGGCATCAATTTTTCTGTCATCCTTAGTCATTGTCCACCTCTCTGACGCATAGCAAGTAATTGTGAAGACCATAGCCTGAATCAGGCACACCTTAGTCTTTAGACTTTTGTGGCTGCTCTTCAGTATTCTGGAGAGGTCCCTGACAGCAAATTTTCGCGTTGCAGTTTGTCTTTTGATTTCCTGACTGCTGGTGATTAGAGTGTTGATTGTGGAGCCAAGCAAGCTTTAATTGTTAACAGTCTCAGTCTCTTCACCCTTGCCTCAATCCTTAATAAAGGCCATTCCAGCTTCAGAAATAAAAGGGGCATCAAAACAACTATGAGAAATCATCTCACCCCAGTATGAATAGCAAAATTTAGCAGAACAGCAAACATCAAATGCTGGCAAGGTTGTGGAGAAACTAGAACCCTTATTTACTGTTGATGGGAGTGTAAAATGGTGCAACCACTGTGGAAGACTGTATGGCACTTTCTCAAAAAGTTGCAAATAGAATTACCATTTGATCCAGCAATTCCACTACTAGGAATTTGCCCTAAAGAAACCATAACCGCCACTCTAGCACATATATGCACACCCATGTTTATTGTGGCTTTGTTCACAATAGCAAAGAGCTGGAAACAACTCAGGTGCCCATCAACAAACAAATGGATAGAGAAGCTCTGGTATATTCACACAATGGAATACTACATAATGTTGAAAAACAATATGCAATATGAAATATTGCATGAAATATGAAATATTTCATGAATAAATCATGAAATATGCAAAATGGATGACCCTGAAGGACATTATACTGAGTGAAAATCTCGATCACAAAAGGACAAATATTGCATAGGGCTGCTGTTGTAAAACGGGACTGACATTAGGGTTGAGGGAAGGCAGAGAAGGAGAGAAGGATGTATACCGCATTAAAACAGATGAAGGAGAGAACTGTTTAAAAGAGCTATATGAATGGGTATTCTTGTCATTACAGGAGTCCAGAATGGAGGCTGCACAGTGGAGTGGACTTGAGGGGAGGGATTGCATAACAATGCAAGAGTTTTTCTTTTATTTTTCAAGAAGCAGAATGAAGGGGGGAGGGCAGGGAGAAAAATACAACAAGGAATGACTGGAAACCCTAAGTTTCTGTAAATGTTCATTAAAATTAATTTTTAAAAAATGAAAGGGGCAAGTAGGGCTAAAAAAACTCAGGTTGTAATACTGGTGCTTGAAGAATTAGAGATCCGGTGAAAGAAAGGAACAGGTTCACAACTTTGACAAACTTAATAAAAATTGTCTATGTAAATGTTTAAAAAACATTATTATGTGCCTTATTCTTTTTTATTTACTTTCTTTACGTTGTCTTAATACCTGTATAACTGATGATGATTCTTTGTCTTCTTCACTGCTAGCTGATAGAGCATGGGGGAGATTGAAGGAACATACAGAGTTTTGCAGACCACAGGGACACGCCTAGGGGCTCAGACCCCTGCTGGAGTGAGCACATTGGAATCTGGGCAAGGCCTGCTGGCAGCCATGACTCGGGCACAGGAGAAGTACCTCCACATCAGGGTGAAGCTGCTTGACGGCACCGTGGAAGCCTTCGATGTAGAGGTAAGGAGAATCAGAAAAGTTCTGGATGTGTACACCAAGTAGTAATGTCTTTAGATAATTCAATCTTTATATAAGCTATGCTTCTGTTATTGTGGAAAAGATTTAGATTGCAATCATTTTAAGGCTAATCCATGTAAGGTAATAGGAATAGCTGAAAACGTAAAATATTTTGTAAGCCTAAAAAAAAATATTTTGTAAACCTGTTTTCCTTCATTTTCTAAAGACCAAATGTTCTATATGAAGCTCCTTTTTTCTGGTTAGACTTTGAAGATTCTCCGGTTGACCAAGTTTAGCTCTAATGGCATACAGTACAATTCCTGAAAACAAACATATCAAGGTTTCACCTTTTGGAGAAAAGTATAGGTAAGCCTAGGGTCTTAAAATGCCAATAAAATTTTGCAGTTATATTCCTCTTCTCTTTTTTAGAGGTGACTTGAGTTGTCCTGAAGGGCATAGACCCTAGAGCCAGATTAACAGTAGACACAAATCACTGACCACCTTGGTGACTGGGATATCCGAGGTGTAAGCCTCTTGGTCTGCAAGTGAAAGCTCTATGTGAATTAAACTTATGAGGTTCCTACCCACCCACCCACCCCACCCCTGTTGTTGATTGCCAAGTTGAGTATGACTCATAGTGACCCTATGACCCAAAAGCCTAAAGCCTTTCTATAACTATCATCATTTCTCTAGGTTCATAGAGTTTCCAGAGGCATGTGATTTAGGAAAGATTCACAGCTTTGGAAACTCTTTGAGCTATTTTAAGATTTATAGCTTTGGAAACCCTGTTGGACAATTGTAAGATTTATCACTCTGAAAACCCTTTGGGGAAGTTGTAGCCGGGGTACCACTCAGAGGTTGCTGTGAGTGGAAATCAACAGGACCATGGTGGGCTGGTTTGAGTTTGAATCTAAAAATTAACAAGGTTACTCCCTGGTGCAGGCAACTGGAAAGGACTTAGTCTCAATTTAGGATCTCTTTGTTGTAACCATGGGACTGCATACAGAGAGCCTAGAACAGAGTTTTAGACTCAGAGTTCAGTTGTAAACAAGGGGAATCAGCTTAACTAGAGTTTCCAAGATGAAGATTGTATTCTTGTCATCCTTGAAAGGAAGTGATACACTCACACGACAGTACACCTTTGTACCAGCCTCTTTTCTGTTTGCTTAATCCTCTTTTTTTAGTTCCCTGTCAAGTTTTGTTTCTCCTAAAAGGTGTTAGAACAAATTATTATCTTTTTCAAATCTTACCATGTTGGTTTTAAGTATTTAGAAATTTTTCCTGCTTTCTGACTAAATATTTGAAAGAAAGGACAAAAGAAGAAACTGCTGTTGCAGGAGGTTTATCTGGGATTGGGAATTCCTATTGAGAAGTCAAGATGGTGTACAGAAAATGAATGATGAGTAGTTGTGAGCACCATGACGAGGACTGCTGAATGAAAACCTTGGTGCCACAAGCCTGCCAGCAGTAGGTTTGGAAGGAGCTGTCCAGAGGCAGCTTCCAGCACAGAACCAAGGGCCCAGCCTTCTCTCAGGTTCTGCAGCGTCTGAATGTGTGTGTGTGAGTATACATGCATGTATTTGCCTGTGTGAAAGTGCATGTATTGTGTATATGCATGTTTATCAGTGCATGGAAATGAGTATTAGCTGGTAGTGAGTTCCCAGGGCCTGACTAGATGGATTCATCATGTTAGAACTCAAGAGGTTGTAAGTGGTTTGGTTTGGGTTTCTTATAACAATCTTATTTGGGAAAGAAATAAAATTTCATTAGGCCAATGGTGATTGAAACTAGTAGGACTTGTATGTGCAGATCCCAAAGTCACCACTTACGTTGTGAAAGAGCAGACACAGCATTTGCAGAGAAAAGGCAGCCTTTGAACCTTCAGAATGCTGGTGATTTCTGACAGATGGGTCACTTTGAGGAAATGGTTTCAAAGTCTGGGAATTTTATTGAGTTCCAAATCGCTTCCTGTCAAATGTTCAGAAAAATTTATGCCATGTAGCTACCCATAGTAAGTGAATTTGCTGTAGTCTGGGTTTATTAGAAGTTAAAATGCTTTTGTTGTTGTTGTTGTTACTGTTTTAATTACTCTCCTTCTAAAGTTGTTGGGTGTCACTGAGTTGACTACAACTCATGGAGACCCTGTGAACAGCAGGTCTAAACCTTGCCGAGTTTCTACCATCCTCACTATCTCTTTCATGCTCAGACTCAACTGCGGTAGTCACTGCTTCAGTCCATCTCCTTGAAGGTCTTCCTCCCTTTTATCAACTTTCCCCAGGATGCTGTGTATGTCTCAGGACAGACCCTCATAAACATATGTGCGAAGTAAATTAGATGAATTCTCATCATACTTGCCTCTAAGAAGCACACTGGTTGCACTTCCTTTAAGACAAATTTGGTCTTTTGGCAGTCCGTGGTTTATTCAGTACTATTTGCCAACACAATTCAGAGATAACTTTTTTTCCCCTTCGGTCTTCTTCATTTGTTATCCAACTTTCAGATGCATAGGAAGAAACTGAAGAGGCCATGGCTCACAGTAGCAAAAAGTTGGAACCCAAGTACCCATCAACAAACAAATGGATAGAGAAGCTGTGGTATATTCACAAAGTGGAATGTTATGCAGCACTGAAAAACAAATAACTCATGAAATATTATATAGAATGGGTGACCTTGGAGGGCATTATGCTGAGTGAAATATCTCAGTCACAAAAAGACAAATGTTGCATAATGTCACTGTTGTAGAACAGGACTGATACGGAGGGGGGAATAAGAAAAGAGGGGATAAATAATGTACACATTGAAACAGACAAGGGAGAGAACTGTATAAAAGAAATATATGCTTAGGTATTATTGGCATGACAAGAGTCCAGAATAAGAGTAAAGTGGTCCAGGAGATGGATCTGTATAACAATGAAAGAACTTTTTTCCAAAGAAATAAGTGAACGGGGTGGGGGTAGGGGGGCAGGGAGGTAAATGTGCAACAATGAATGGAAATAAAAATTTTTTTAAAAGACCATAGCTTGGATCAGATACACCTTAGTCTTTAAACTGTTGTACTTGATCTTTAAAAGTTGGGAGAGGTTCTTGACAGCACATTTCCCCAGTACAGTACATCTTTTGATTTGTTAACTGCTGCTACCATGAGTGTTTTGGATCCAAGTAAAATGAAACCAACAGCAACTTCAATCTTTTCTTCATCTTTGTAGTATTGCTTATTCATCCAGTGGTAAAGGTTTTTATTTTATTGATGTTGAAGTATAACCAGTATAGAGGGCTGTAGTCTTTTATCTTCTGCAGTAAGTACCTCAAGTCTTCTTCACTTTCTGCAAACAAGGTTGTGTCATATGCATAATGCAAATTGGCAGTGAGTCTTTCTCCAATTCTGATGCCTCATTCTTCTTCATAGAGCTCAGCTTCTTAAATTATTTGCTCAGCATACAGATTTACTAGGTGGAGAAAAGATACAGCCCTGACACATCTTTACTGATTTTAAACCATGCAGTGGTCCCTTGTATTTGGATAGCTGCATCTTGGTGTGTATAGATTTCATATGACTACAATTAAGTGTTCTGGGATTATAATTACTCTTACTATTAGCTATAACTTGTTGTTGTTGTTGTTATATGCTGTAAAGTCGCCTGCAACTCATGGCGACCCTATGTACAACAGCCCTAAACCCTGCTCTGTCCTGTGCCAATCACACTGTCTCTGACACACCCACCCCTATTACCCTTGTCATTGAATCAATCCACCTCATAGAGTGTCTTCCTCTCCTGCACTGTTCCTTCACCCTCCTAAGCATGACATCCCTCTTCAAGGTCTGGTTCCTCCTTGCAACATGTCCGAAGTATGTCAGACGAAGTTTCAGAATCCTTGCCTCCAAGGAGCAACCTGGTTGAAAAAAAATAAGAAAAAAAGTAACTTATCCTCACATAATTAATAAAACACAAACATCCTTCTGGTATTCTCTCCTTTCAACCAAGATCCATCTGACATCCCTTGTGCCATGACCTCTTCTGAACAAGCTTGAATTTCTGACAGTCTCTCTTGATGTACTGTTCTAGCCATTTTAAAAGAATCTTTGGCAAGATTTTACATGCATGTGATACTGATATTATTGTTATATAATGACCACATTCAATTGGATTACTTTTTTGGGAATGGGTATGAGTATGAATCTCATCCAATCACTTGACTAGATAGTTGTCTTCCATATTTCTTGGCAGATACTTATTTCCAAAGTACTTATTATCTACTTACTTATTCCTTGTTGTGTTTAGTGCCGTCGAGTCAAAGGCGACTCATAGCGACCCTGTTAATGAAAGTCCTCAACACTTGTGTGCGTGACTTTCATCCTTTCTCCAGGTTCATAAAGTTTCCGGAGGCAAGCTCTTCACAGAAGTGGATGCCATTCCTGCTTCCAGTATTTATTCCTACTTAATAATATTTAACAACTAAATTTGATATGGAAAAAAGGAAAAAAAGTAGAGATTTATAATTTGTGTTGTGAACTCAAAAGTTCAAATTCACTGCTGTTATGTTGTTTGTTGTTATGTGCCATCGAGTCGCTTGCAACTCATAGCAACCCTATGTACAACAGCCCTAAACTCTGCTCTGTCCTGTGCCAATCACACTGTCTCCGACACTCCCATCCCGATTATCCCAGTCACTGAATCAATCCACCTCATCATAGAGGGCCTTCCCCTCCTGCGCTGTCCCTCCACCCTCCCAAGCATGATGTCCTTCTCCAAGGACCGGTCTCTCCTCACAACATGTCCAAAGTATGTTAGACGGAGCCTCAGAATCCTTGCCTCCAAAGGGCCACCCGGTTTAACCCTCTCCAGGACAAATCTATTTGTTTTCCTAGCAGTCCATGGTATTCTCAGTACTCTTCTCCAGCACCACAGCTCAAAGACATCAATTCTCCTTCTATCCTCTTTGGTCATTGTCCAACTCTCTGATGCATAACAAGTGATTGCGAAGACCATGGCCTGTATCAGACA